GGTTGCTCCAAGCCTCATCCAGCCTGGCCTTGGACACTCCCAGGGATGGGGCATCCACATTCTCTGGGTAACCTGTCCCAGTGCCTCTCCACCCTCTGAGGGAAGAATTCCTTCCTGATGTCCCATCTCAGTCTCCCTCTTTCAGTTTAATCCCATTACCTCTTGTCCTGTCACTCCCTGCCCTTGGAAAAGTTCCCCCAGCTTTCTTGTTGGCCAAACTGCCCTAAGGGGGTGACCAGAGCTGGGGTGGAACCTCGGTCGCTGCAGTTCCCGGATTGCACCAGGACACAGGCAGCTATTTGCAGCCCTGGGTTTGCACCTCTCCTCTCCCTTGCGCTTGAGAATGTGTCCAGATCCTGCATCTGCCCATGGGAGCAAATCCCTGTGGTTGCCCAACCACTGCCGCACAGGAAGGCCCCATCCCGGTAGGGCCAGGAGGCCCTCTGTGCCGGTAGCCATCCCTGGCACAACCCGGGGACTAATCCACCCCTGTCCCTCAGCACCTTGGGCTGAATCCCAGGCCACGGTTGGGATCTGAATTCTGTTGTGGCCCCGCTGGTCATTACAGGCTGCTGGAGCCCGTGTGCCTCTCCTGGCCCCGAACGCCCCTTGCCCGGCCATGGCTAACACCCACTGCCCTTGGTGGGGCCCAGGAGAGACCCCGGCTTGCGGGCGCGTGCTCCAGCTCACGTGTTCCGCCTTTCCCGTTTCCCTAGGTGGTGGGTCGGCGAGTGGCAGAAATGCTCTGCTACCTGCGGCCAGTCGGGGCTGATGAAGAGGACGGTGCTCTGCATCCAGAGCGTGGGGCTGGACGAGCAGAGGGCCTTGCAGCAAGCAGACTGCCAGCACCTCTCCAAGCCAGATGCCACCGCACCCTGTCACCGGGACGTCCCCTGTCCTTCCCAGTGGGCCGTGGGGAACTGGTCCGAGGTGAGAAGGAGCATCGGGGAGGTCCCAGTGTCTTGCAAAGCTGGTGGGAGCTGGGGACGGTGGCCCCAGGGTGTCCTCAGCCTGCCCTGGAGCAGCACGCGTGCTCCAGCTCACCGGGAAAACTCACCTGGATGTGTTTCTGGTGCTCACGTTGTTACACCAGCTCACACGGACGGGGATTTGGTGAGGCACTGGAACAGGTTGCCCAGAGAAGCTGTGGATGCCCCATCCCTGGAAGTGTCCAAGGCCAGGCTGGATGAAGCTTTGAGTAACCTGGTCTAGTGGAAGGTGTCCCTGCCCATGGCAGGGGGGTTGGGACTGGATGATCTTTAAGGTCCCTTCCAGCCCAAACCATTCTGTGATTCTATGATTTCGCGGCACAGGGAGGTCTCAGTGCGGAAGGAGCTGCTTGACTGCCCCATTGTCTCTGAACCTTGCTGCATCCTCAGGGTGATGGCCACTCTCTGTGCTTGGCACAAGGAGTGCAGAAACGAGGGTTTGAACCCTCCAGTGGTTCCCCAGCACCACAAACCTTCCCCTGAGTTTTGGCAGAAGCTTTAAAGGTAACTCTTGCCTGCTGAAGCGAGGTGTCAGAGGGAAGCCAGGGTCTGGATGCACCGGGCACATGTGTGAGCTGGTGCTGGGGCAAAGCTGCTGGGGTGGGCAGAGACAGAGACCCCCTCGGCGATGCTCCTGCGGAACGGGGCAGCCACCACAAATTCTTCAATAGTGCTTTTTAAACAGAGGGAATGGTCAAAAAAAGAAAATTCCCCATGTATCAAATGCCATGGTCTGTGGCACCCTGTGTAGCCTTTATTTATTTTTGTATTTCTGTGGATCGGCTTAACCGCAGGTTTGGGGGGTTTAACCAGAAAATTATAACTCCTAATTTAAGCAGCGGCTTCAAAAAGTGTTCAGTGTAAAGACAAGTATGAGGAGGGAGACGGAAGAGCCTGGGAACTGAGCTTGTTGCTAAGGAACAAATGAAAAATGTGAACAGAAAATTTGAAGGCTGAATGAGAGCTATTTAGAAATATTTTTCTAGGGGCCCACAAAAGCCACAATTGTCGGGCTGCAATGGTTTAAAGGGAAAATCACGACCTGCCCGCGGGTCTGTGCTGTGCAGGGAGCCAGCACAAGCCTCTGTGGTGCTGACATCGACGGATCTGTGAGCCCACAAAAAAACGTGCTCGGGATTTTGAGATGTCTGTGATTTTTCTGCCTGTTCCCTTCCAGCCAGAGCCCTCCTCCTCCTCCATTTCCACCAGCACCAGTAAGGAGAGAGATGTGAGGGGCTTGGGAGCTTCCCAGAAACACGGTCCTTCTGTCCAGCAATCACAGAGCTTTGGGAAGGGCCCTAAAGCAAGTTGTATCCAGCTTTATGGACTTCCCAGAGGTGTTACCAGTGCGCTCAGAAGTATCATCCGTTTCCACTAAGACGGGACCGGGCGCGTGGGTCTCGGGGCAGGAGCAGGTCCCTGCAGGCTGCTGCTGTCTCCTGCCGTCGTGTGCTTGATGCTGAACCTCCTGCGAGGTCTGGGTGTCCCTCCACGAGGCTGCGAACGGCCGTCGTGTCTTATCGGTGTCCCAGGGGCTTTCCTGATAACCGAGCCGTGGCAAAATAAGCCCCCTCCTAACCTCTGCACGAGCTGCGGCACCTGGAATTTATCTCCTGGATGGAGCCAGAGGCCTTTGCTGGAGATTTTCGCTTAAGGGGCACGCTGGGGGAGCTGAGCTCCGTTTTCCCTGGTGTGGGGGTGCCGTCCCAGGAAGGAGAAGCAGTTTTCTTGCACGATGTTTGCGTGCAGTGATGTGTTATTTCGGCACCGTTGCGTAGCTGGTGGAGGTGCCTGGCAGTGGCCACGGGGTGTTATGGACCGTCCCTCCTGCTGGGCACCATCCTCGGCGTCAGTTCTGCTCCTACCCAGCATTGCCCAGGAAACACGGAGCTGGGGAGGCCCCGGCACGGCACAGGGGGGTGCCAGCTGCTGGGTCAGCATCTCCGGACAGCCCCTGCCTGGGTGGAGACATCCCACGGGGTGGGCACCCATCCGGGAGCCCACCAGGACCAGCGTGGGGAGCAGGGCAGGTCCCGACCAGGCTGAGCAAAGATGGGAAGGGCTGGGAATACGGGAGAACATACTGTTGCAAGGGCCACATCTCCAAGCCAGGCCAGCCCAGCAGCTCTGCCTGTCCCCCTTAACCTCCTTGTTTCCACAGAGTGGTGGCTGTGCCCCAAACCCTCGCCTCAGCCCGTCCCTTTTCATCCGCATGGCAGGGGTTTCAGCAGAAATCCCCTCCGCTGGGTTTGTTGCCTGGCTGACCGTTGGTTCTCCTTGGCTGGCTTGTGTAAGGCGCTTGGATGTACGTGACTAACGCCCTGTGGCGTCTGTCACTGCCAACGGCGACGGCCTGTGGCGCGGGCTGTCTCCTGCCGTCGTGCGCTTGATGCTAAACCTCTGCGAGGTCTGGGTGTCCCTCCGCGAGGCTCCGAACGGCCGTTGTGTCTTATCGTGGCGCGGGCAGCCTGTGCCTGAGGTTAGCAGCACTGTGACTTGCTTATCCAGCAGGAAACCTTGCTGTCCTTTCCAGCTTGCGGGTCTCTTTTATACTGAACGGTCTCAAAGAGACCACTGTGGTGCAGGAGGGGGGGGTCCTCAACAACGCTCCTTATTGACCCTTGCCTTTTCCCTACTAGGATAACACCCATGTTACTATCCCCTGCTTCAAAAATCTCTCTTCTAGAAGAAAAGATGCAATTCATGGCAATGGGTCATGGAAAATACCCATTAGATCATCTTACCCCATGCCCTTCTCCTGGGAAAATTGGTTCTGGCTGGAGTGCAGGTCAGGGATCACCCCGAGCAAAGCACCCTGCGGCACCAGCCCTGCCCTGGGACGGTCTGTAACGGGGAGACAGCCCCGGGGGAGATTTGGCCAGTAACACCACCGCTTACCAGTGCGACCGGGACCCCCTGCTCCTGACTCCTGGTGCAGGGGACCCCCTGCCGCAGGCAGGACTGGCCCAGGAGACACCTCGGGATGCGGGTGGTGGTGGGAGCGTGGCAGAGCACGTGGGACGGTCGAGCTCCCACTTTGGTGTCGTGGAGGGGATCACGGGCAAGCGGCACCTCCCTGACGTCCGTGTCTCTCTTCCTTTCCCAGTGCTCCGCGACGTGCGGCAACGGGACGCAGAGGCGCCCGGTTCACTGCAGCAACAGCACTGGGGCTGCCTGTGACCCCGCGGAAAGACCCAGCGCGGAAACTATTTGCTCCCTGCCACGGTGCCAGGAGAAGTGGGACAGTGCCAACACGGACTGGTCTGGCAGTGGGTCCTCCAGCAGAGAGATATTTAATGAAATCCATTACATCCCCAGCAACCACATTGCGAAATTTAACCCCTTAATTCCAAACATTCCCGAGTCCAATGATATCAATATCATCCCCGAGGAGGATTTCTCAGCCAAGAAGGGAAATGTCTTTGTTGATGACTTTTACTACGATTATAATTTTATCAACTTCCACGAGGACCTGTCTTACTATCCCTTCACGGAGAAGGAGACCAAAGGGGAGGGTCAGAAGCCAGAGCTGAGCACCAACGACGTGGAGGGGTCCCGTGAGACGCCTGCTGATGTCCTGCGCCCTGTAACGCCGGGAGGAGGAGCGAGCGAGGACCACCTGGTGACGAGCGAAGCAAACGCTTCTGCTCCTGCGCACGGCGAAGGGGAGACGGAGCCTGGGGGTTTAGCCACGAATGACCTGAGCATGGCCCCTGGGGACACAGGGACAGCCACTCCCAAATATGCCGTCCCTGACTTCA